TTTAGGCTAACCCTATCCTCTCGACAACCGCCGACGAAAGGCACCAACCTCTTTAGGCTAACCCTATCCTCTCGACAACCTTCGACGAAAGGCATGAACCTCTTTAGGCTAACCCTATCCTCTCGACAACCGTCGACGAAAGGCATCAACCTCTTTAGGCTAACCCTAAACATTTCATTCCATGACAACTGAAATTTGATCATTTCATTCCATCACAACAATAATTTATAAATAAAATTTCATCAACAAGATCAAACTAGACCACACCGATCACATCCAACAAACAACTTAGTGTTCACATCTTACATAATAATCCATTACAATTAAACAACATACTAATAAGATTTAGATTAACTCCATTACTGAAAACAGAGTACTTAGTTCAACAGAAACAACATAGTTCAACACAATACAACCAACCAAATTTAATTCAACCTTGTTGGCCTCATACATTATGCCAACAAATTACTCACTCATCACAGATTTCTTTGATTTTCCTCATCTTTATCTTGTTTGCCTCCCCATCCTTAAGCAAATCAGCTATGGTATACTCTAGCTTCGTCTTCTCCTTCTTCATCTGTTCAATCTGTTGAGCACCTTCATCTGCTACATGTTGCTTCCAATTCCTAACAAGTTCATCATTACTCTGCTTAATCACTTGCAGTGTTGTCCTAAGCTCAATATTGCCTTTCTCAAGTTTAGCCTTCTCTTCCTGGGCTTGAACTACAACATTCTCTACATCACCATCCTGCATAATCTTCTGATAATTCTCTCTCATCACATTCTTGTGAATTGTAGCAAAAAAATTGCTTGTTTCTTTGATGTGGTTGTGGTGCTTCTCTTGGATTAGCTTCTTCTCTTCTCCTAGCTTGAGTATGAGCTTTTCTTTAGTATCATTCTCTTTGCTACTCTGCTCATACATATCCCAAAGTTTGCGAAGTGCATTTTTCATGGGTTCTGGCCATTCTGGGTCAATCCATTGAACCAGACCACAATTGTCACCTTCCTATAATAATTCAGACAAAACCAGAGTTAACAGCCACATTCAGAGAAGTCAGTTAACACCATATTCAGTTAACAGCTACATATATTCAGTTAAACAGCTACATACATGCAGTTAATAGCTACATATATTCAGTTAACTGAGCTCATTTAAAACCAGACACATTCAGTTAAGCATTGATTAAACTTGACACATTTCCCCCTCAAAACAGCTGATAAAACGACATCTTCAGAAAACTAAGTACACAACTATATTCAGTTAACAGACATATAAACCTATATTCAGTTCACTAAGCATCAAAAAAGGATTTGTGTAATGTACATGTACAAGAGAGGACCTGCCACTAACCTGATTACCGCATCCATAAAACCTACGGCCAGTGTTGATTCCTTGGAACACAACAGCCCTATGAACAGGAAGGTTGTGACAGCACATCGGTCCTCCGGCAACAATACCGCACCACTCCGGGTCAACAATGGTCTGTGGGATCTACAATATTGCAACAGTGCTCAAATCCCAACTCAAATCCGTGAAAACTAAGCTCAAATCGAAGAAAACCCTAACCCTAAGTCAATGAGAAATGATACTCACGTAGGTCTCGTCCGCGTGCGAGTTGAATAGGGGGGACATAGAATCTTCGCCGCTAGTTTCGCCGTCCTTCCAGGACACCATCGCTGCGGCAGCCGGCGACGACAAATGGATGGCGGAGGCGGTGGCAAACGCGCCGCGGGCATAGAAGAAGGCGAGAGAGAGGCGAATGGACGAACGGGTCAGGCTGGGTCGGGCCGGCTCGTTAGGTCATGTGTGACGCCTCTAACGGCGTGCGTCACGGGCGCCGTCTCCCATGTCCACGTGGCGCCTGACAGCGGGTCCAACCGGTCAGTTTTTCACTCAGACGCGCCAAACCATGCAACCAGTGTTTTTTGAAAACTGTCAGAGCAAACGTGGTGGTTTTTTGGAAAAAAACGAAAGGTGATGGTTTTCTGTTTTAGCGTCCCCTAATGTGGTGGTTTTTTGCAATTTAGGCTCCGTTCGGAAGTCTTCCACAGGCCAGCTTCCTAAAATCGCTCCCAAAAGCCAGCCGAACGGATCTGATCCAAGAAGCAGGCTCCGCGGAGACGAGGAATACGCAGTGCAATTTTTTCGGATTCAAGGAGCAGCGCCAGCCCAGCTTCGCGAAACAGAGAAGTAGGAGTTGATCAAATTTACATGGGAATGCCCTTCCGAAGTGAGGCTCCCGTACCGTTTCGATCGCTACAACTGGCCCTCGACACATCGAAGCAAGGAGTTGGTCGAAATTACAAGCCACTGCCCTTCCGAAGTGAATCTCACGTACCGTTTCAATCGCTCAAACCTGCTTCCCCAACCGAACTGGGCCAATATGACCTGGCCCAAACCCTGGCTGAACAGGCCTTAGCCTGATTTCCTGGGCTACCAGTCCATGCGTACGTGAGAAGCGAAGGATGTTCAACCGAACGAATCGCTGCTCCAGCGAGAAGCTGGAGGCCAGCGAGAAGCTGGGAAGCCAGCTATTTCGGGAAGCTAGCGGAGATCCGAACGGGGCCTTACTCTTAATTTATGTTACTGAGAATGCTTAGCTAAATCATCTTTGGCAAGAATCTGGCGGAAATTATCCACCATAAGAACTCAGCGGTTTACTCCTGATATATGTATACTTTAGAAGTTGTTAAAATTGCTACAATTGATTTCCAGAGTTTTCATGAGAAGGTAGTGTTCACAAGAAATTTAGTTTTTATCCATAGGATGATAGGGATATCTAGGGAGTAATGGTCAGAAACATGGGAAAGGCTAGTGTACCACCTGATCCCTACGGGACCATCCTTTGTGCCTTATGATTCATCAATCAAAGACACCAGAAACTCGCAGAAAATAACTTACATTACAATTACCTTTCCTCGAGACGCTGACACTCTACGGAACAGTCTTGCGCACACCATCTGGGCAAACTATGCAGTTAGTTAATCTCAGGCCCTTTGCGCAAAAAAAAAAACTCAGGCCCTTGGGCAAGCTTCAAGACATCAAACTGTGGCAGACCCAGAGCTTAAGAAGAGGGCACCAGTCTAAGACATGACTTCAAGGCCGTCGAAAAGAGCTTTATTGATTTGATTAAACAACAGTAACATCATTACAATCCACGGAGAGCCGGTTTATTTCTTCTCTAGCTAACTGAGCAAGTTCACGAGCCACTGTATTACACTCTCCCCACTTGCATCACATTGACATCGGCTGACAACATCGCCTCCGGTTGCATACGCGCTCATTCAAATAGGCCTAAACTAAGCCAGGCACATCGATACCTTTATTCAGATCATTTGGATCAAAGGCCTGAATTTATTTCCCCATCCAGCCAATCAGTGGATCTCAACGGCGACCGGTTGAAACTTCAGTCGCCATTCACACCTTACCAATGGTTGGCGGCACCGGGGACTACAACTGTAGACGGTCACAAGAAAAATACTGACCGCCCCGCGCGTTTGCGCTGCCACGAACTGAAACTGGGAAAAGAATGAGCCGACGGTATATATAAAGTTATAAACAGATACGATAGAGAATGCTTCTTCTTCTTCTACCAATCAGCGCGCCGTTTCTTTCTGCTCGCAGTTTTCCTCCGTTTGCGACGCCATCTTCTTGATGTCTTCCACGAGGATGTTCCCTTCTGTAAGGCACATGAGCAGATAACATCTTAGATATAGGAGGAGCAAGGAAGATGGACAGTGATACTGATACGCTAGTACAGTAGATGCAAGTGTGTGTGCCAGGGCTGAACCTCTGTCTTTGGAAAGGTTGCTGATAAGCTCTTGGACACCTTCCTTCCCCATGGTGTCCTTGAGATAACCTGCGGCTGCTTCTACCTCTTCCGGAGTCACCTTGCCGTCACGGTCCCTGTAACAAGATCAGTTTATTATTGTTCAGCAAGGAAATATCAAACATATTCCCCTTGCAGTCCAGTTCCTTGGTTACTGGCATACGATATAAATGAGCGAATTATGCTTATAACCGAAAAATATGACCATGCATAGTTTTTCTCCTCCCGAGTCGCCCCTGTGTGGCGGCCAGGAGGCTCCCAAATCCCGTCACCCGGCCTCCCCTTCTCCTCCTCCTCCCTCGCCGCCGCCCGAGGACTCGGGGCCCTCCCGCTCGTGAGGGGCTGGCGCGGGCCGGCGCCCCCAGGCCGGAGCGTGGCGTGCGGCCTGGCGTCACGGCGGGGGGTGGCGGCGCTCCGGCGATCCCATACCTCCACGGCAGACGGCTTCAAGGTCTGGGGCGTCGCGATCGTCAGGGATGGCGGCGGCGCGGCCGGATCTGGGCCCAGGTGTGGGCTTGGTCTCCAGGTCGCGGTCGGCGCGGTGGCGGGTGCGACACGTTGGCAGCTGGGTGGATCTGCGGATTCCATCCTTGTTTGGTCCCTTGACAGCGCGGGCAACTCCGGGGGAAACCCTAGATCTCCTTGGGATCGAGCGATGGCAGTGCTTTTGCGTAGTAGCCCCTCTTCAGGGCATCGTTTTGGAGTTTGCTGCGGTTGAAGGGACCAGCGACGCCGACGGCTCACGCCCGGTGGCGCAAGTGCCGATGAAAGTCGCGCCGACTATGGTCATGGCGGACGATGGCGGCGTCTTTGATGTCGTTTCCTTGTCGAGGCATCGTCGTTGCAGTTTGTGTCATCGGGCTCGGGATGCTCCGGGGGAAACCCTAGATCTGGGTCTCCCGGATCGGACGATGATGGCGTTCTCTGGATCGCTTTCCCTCTTGAGGGTATCGTTTTGGAGCAAGTGATGGCTGGAGGTGGCAAGAGGAGCAGCGGTGTTACATCTACCGCAAGGCCGACGACAGATCGTGGCGGCATGGCATTGCGGAGTTTCGGCGATGGGCGCGCGTGGATGGACACGCGCAGGATGGTGGCGTTGTCTGACGCCATGGTGGCATCGACGGCAAGCCTGGCAAGGTTGGTGCGTCACGACCTGCTCTGGAGATGGATCGGTGGTTAGTGGTGGCGGCGGCCTCTGAGAGTGCGCCAGACCGGTGTGTGACCCAATCCCGGCATTGTGGCTTGGTTGGGGCATCCGGCTTTAGATGTTAGAATTTGGTGCGATGTCTGTTTGGTATTAGGCTCGGACATTTGGCACCCCTTCGTCAAGGGGATATGAGTAGCGACAGGTGTGTTGCTAAGATGGTGGCTTTAGGCATACTGATGTATTACTTTGTAAGGTCCTTGTGAATAATTAATAATATGGTTGCATGCATCGTCCAGATGCAGAGGTCGAGGGTATATCCTCCTTTTCGAAAAAAAAATTACCTATCAAGCACCTGCCAGCGGTTGCCTATTCGTGCATCAACATCATCAATCTCTTTCTCTAATTTCTGAAGCATAGCATCAACCTGAAAATGCAGCGAAACAGAATGTCAACAGTAGTCCCTTCGTTATCGAAGAGAAAGGGGAGACGCACAAACCTCGGATCTGAAAAATATAGGTTCCAGGTAGAAACCTACCCAGTATAACGTGATTACAGCTCCGAAACACATGGGTTTTGTTTCTGCATCCTTGTTTGGTTTTCTTGTCTTTCGTTCTACTACTCAGTTATGTACAACAACACAAGAGATTGCTTCAAAACTAGGTCAGAACTCAGAACAGTTCCTGTGATAATTCAAATGATACCTCTGTGCCATTTGGGACGAGGCCAGAATGTGCAGACAAGAAAGTTGAAATTAGTGATCACTAGTATATCTAAAGTAATTTTATCTCTTCTCCAACAAAGCACAAAATAATCCAACCATGTTCGCTTCTCTTTTAATTCGCACGGAGATGCTTTTGCGGGCAAAGGGCGTGGCATGTGTGGGGTTGTAATCACCTATTCATATGCTTGTAAATAAATTTGCTACTCCCTCCGTCCCATAATATAAGAGCGTTTTTGACACTTAGTGCTTTGTTGGATAAGCAAACATTTGCATCTTCTCAGAAAAAAATGTTAGCTTCTTTTCTAGGCTTAGGTTTTCTGGTCATATTTTAGTGATTTCCAATAGCTACTTGCCGACAGCAAGAAGACCATATGATTAGTCTTGGAAATTGGAACAAACTTCTTAAGGTCTGGATGTAATGAACTATCCAACTATTATAACCTGCAAGCGAAAGATCACCAAAGCTCATTACTAGCTGAGCACAAATTGTCACTTATAAGTTATAACATCCTGTAAGCCAGTCAACAGTTCATGTATATCTGTTTGAGCTGCTACATGCACTATATTGAACTTCAAATAAGGGATGCTTCTGAGTTGAAGTTCTAGTTGAACTTTAGACACGGAAATTTTTTCCTTACCTTCTCTATTAATGCTGAAGAAACTTTTTCTCCTGCAACTAATTCTGCAGCATGATCTGATTCCTCCCTGGCCACCCTATATGCTCTCCTAGCCTCTTCTTCATCCACTGTGCCCTCCTTTTCCAGCATGGTGTTATATAGTTCTATCTGAATTCCACCAAATAGGGTTTTCAATATTACATAATGCAAACTGGTAGCTCATAAAAGGGTAGTATATCTCCAACTCATACCTCTTTATTTACAAGGCTCAGAAACTCTTCTCGCTCTTTGGTAACAGACTGCAATGAAAGAAAAAAATTAAACAGGTGCAGCAGAGCATTTATGTAAGTTTTTTGTTGAAATGCACGTAACAAGTATTAACACGAAAATAAGTAGAGTCGTACAGAAGCAGATGCGAGCACAGCCAATGCTTGACTGATGTCACCAAGGTGGTCATTCTTCTCATGTTCTTTTGATTTCTTTAGTTCCTCTCCTTCCCTAGCAGTAGGCTCAGTCATTTCCTTCAAAGCCAAATCTTCCTTAGTAGCCTCTTGTTCGTCTAGCTTTGCCTTTTCTTCTTTCTCTTCCTCCTGGGTATATCATTTGTTGTGAAGAACACATGCATTAATAATCATTGCCGCTTAGTTGAAACATAAAACAGTAGAACTGAGAAAAACATATAGAAAACCATTGTTTCTCCATCCAGGTTGTTTACAAAGCAGCATAGGCAAAACATATTAGAATTGGGGTTACCAAGGAAATAGAAAGCCAGCTAGAAAAACTGCATCTTCAAATCAACAAAGTAATTACATGAAGAACTGATTTCTATTGCACTACTAAAGAATACAAAAATGAGTTTGTGTAAGATGGGATCTTATTGTGGTGGTATTTTTTATTTCATGTTCTTTCAATAGAACTTTCCTACTCTAAGTTTTAAAAAAGCAATAATTTACCAATCTTTTAAGTTCAGTAAATCTAAGTGAAACATAAACCAGGACAGAAAAATATGATCTTTGTACAAGCGATATCACATTTATATATTTCAAAAGCAAATAGTCTGAGAAAAACAATTAAATACTATAAAGCTATGGATTATCATCCTAAACTAGTTCAACATATTTATAACCTTGAATGAGGTTCCAAACTAAGAATGGGGCAAGCTTTGGTGATACAACCAAGAATGTGAAAATAAGGGGAGATCTGTGTCTGGCAAGCCTACACAGAAGACAGCCAGGAATACATGTTTATAGCACATTAGTGTACCTTGATAAGTTCCTCCTGCATCTCTAGGAATTCCAATTTTCTCTTCCTTTCAGAAACAGAATCTTCAGAAGGCAATGCTGTTCCAACTGTACCCACAACTTCATCTGGCAGAGAAGATAACGTTGCTACAACAGCCTCCTCAGGTTTCATTTTCCCAGATACAGTAAAAGCTCTGACATTTTTTTAGCACAGGTTAAAATTTGAAGATAAGCATCCAGTCAACAGGACAATTATCACCAAAATTACCTTGATAGAATCAGAAGAGATGATGGCACAGACTGATTGAGTGATAAATCCAACCAGTCTTTGAGCTGAACGTAGAAGGAAATATTCAAATTCTTGGCCAAAATTGGTACTAGGCAACTATAATTAGCAAAAACTGAAAAAAATAGCAGGATATATGGTGCGGGTGGCAAAACATTCACTAATAGAGTGGCAATACAATAACATATAAATCCCCAATAATAGGCACCTGATGTGCATTTTAATGCCATGACCTAGGCAACACCATGGATGACTCATCAGCAGTTTCCAAACAAACAAACCTGATGGCGCATCTCCTCTGTTGACAATAAATCAAGGTGGCCACGTTCGCGACAAGCGTGTTGGAGCTCCTCCTCAGAAAGAGACTCCACACCCTCAGCCTCAATCATCTTATCATCATTCATAATGCTGTGCATAAACACATAAACATTATATTATGGTTGAATACCAAAAATCTAAATTGGCACAGTGGATGAGCAAACTATAAAAAATAAAACATCCAGTTTTCTATGTTTTTTTTTCAAAAATCAGGTAGGCAAGCTGTCATTTCATTAAATAAAGAGTATGAAAGACTACACCGGCGGACAAGGCCAAAAACCACAGGTTTACCGCATGCACACTCCTCCCCAACAAAAATAGCTCTAGTCCAGTATGAAAAAAAAGGGCAGCCCGGTGCACGTAGCTCCCGCTTGCGCAGGGTCCAGGGAAGGGTCCGACTACTTTGGGTCTATAGTACGCAGCCTTTCCCTACATTTCTGCAAGATGCTGTTTCCAGGACTCAAACCCATGACCTCATGGTCACAAGGCAACAGCTTTACCACTGCGCCAAGGCGCCCCTTCCACTAGTCCAGTATAAAATCATGCTTAAATGCTGAAGATGCAACTCTTAAATTGAACAACAGATTTGGATACAAGATATGTTCTACATCATCCACTGTATCATTTTTTTCTCTGATATCACAACATTTAGAAGCGATTTAAGGACATACTCTCGTAACTTCTTTCGAAGCATGAATCTCAAGTAGTTGTCTGTACCGAAAGGCTGAATTCCCATATATTTACACATGTTTACTAACCGTGATCTGCAGAAAAATGTAAGTGTGAGCTGGTAAAATCAAGGATTAAGTAAACATTCAATGAAACACCAACCTGTTAATGTTATCCAAAGTCAGCTCATCGTTAAACAACTTTGCAAAGCTCAAAATTTCTTCATTGGGGACATGTCCACCTTTCCTGACCTGGTTGCAGAGTACATCACCAAAAACCATTAATATGGCACACCTCTTTATCTATGCTTGCGAGATGACACGATAAATTGAGCAAATACCTTGTCCAAAAATTTATCCAGGTCTTCAGCTGTCTGTTTCATATCCCCACTACGTGATGTTTGCACTTCTTTTGCCATTTCCTTCGCTGTATCTTGCAAGAATTTTGCATATTCCATCCTTGCTTTCAATTTCCTCTTTAATGCCTCCTGTATGTAGGAAAATGAAATGCAGTCCTGAGCATGTATGTCTGGGTTTAATAATTTTGCTGCCAGGACAGTGTACAGAACCTAGGTCATTACCTCTTCTTTCATCTTGTCCTGGAAAGTGGATGGCAACATGTTTGGGAACAACTTCAGGAACACTGGCAGCAAGAGCTCCATGAACGGAATGATGATGAACACAGCAAACGGTACAAGCCTGAACATGTCTGCTGTTGTGCGTGTAAGCTGTTGCCTCTCTCTCCTTGTAAGGCTCTTTCCATCAGCAAGCTTCACCAACAATCTTGATGAAATGCTAACATCTGCCCACAGTAGCTTAGTGCCCAGCCAATAATGCTGCAGCGTAGAAACAAATTCTTCCTTCCAATGCTTCAACTTCGCAGCCCAGTCGGCTCTTAAACCCACAAAACGAAATATAAATTAAAACATCGAAGCAAAGAGCCATCCATGAAAATGAGCAAGGCAGCAGATATACTTCAATTCAAAGAAGGTAACAAAGACCTGCCCATTGAAGCAATAACACGCAGAGCAGGACCAATACCCAGAAGTGTTGCCCAGAATTTCTGTATGATCGATTGGTCAGTCTTTTGGACTTCCTGCACCATTGCTTTGGCTTTAGCCTTTGCAGTGCTTAAGCCTTCCACCGCCTGGTCACACTCTTCTGGAGACGCCTCCTTTTCTGGTTGGTTCTGGTCCTCACTCTTTCCATTCTTAATACCAGATTTCGGCTGCCCAGCTGTTTCTGACGCTGCGCGGACTGACTGCCGGAAATACCTGGCTCCCAAGGGGAATACAGAAATATGTGTTTTGGATTCATAAGAGGCAAGAGGAACACCAAGGGCTGGGCGGCGCAGGAACCCGTTACTAAGGCCCAAAAGGCATCTATTCCTTAAAGTAAATTGCTGCTTCTCATGGCTAGAATCCCCCGAATTCTGCTGCGGCACATGGGATACAGTGTTGTGCTCAACATCACATCCAAATGTTCCTTGGCCGGAAGTAAACTTACATGAATGTAATAGGCGAGGCCCATTAGTATGCTCAAGAATATACTTCCTTCTCCTGATGATTGCCCTAGAAGCCATTCTTGATTGCTGCTTCCTTTTCTCACAAGAATGCCCGGTTCATGCTTCTCCGAGTAGAACCCTGAAACATGGCAAACATCTAGTTATAGGTGTTGCCACATCTGAAGTATATATACGCATGCAAAAAGAAAGAGATAACACAAAGTTTGCCAAAAACATAAATTGTACTAGCATTCATGGTCTATCGGTTTTTGCATAACAGCTATGAGAGTTCAACAATTCCTAAACAAACACGAAAACAGGATATTCCATGTCTGAAAATACCAGCATTGTTCAGGACTTGGTTATATACACTTGTCCAGAACCGGCATTGTAGAACTGCCAAAAGAATTGCCAGCCATAATTAGCTTACAAACAATACAACCCAAACAATGCACCCTGCGTATCAATCCATAATGGCAGCAAACATCTCCAAGTAGTGGACGGGAGGAAATCCAGACAGCGGCTTGTTTTGGGGATGTCCAAAAACGTTGCTGAGCGTCTATAAATGTACATCGCCAACAACTTCACAATTTGGCCCAAATTGCAACAGCTAGACGAATTTGCTTAACGCTAATTGAGTCATCTGATTCACATTATTTATTACTATTATGATTTGGGACATTATTATTCATATGGTGTCATAATGTCCATCAAACCCAGTCACTGGATTCGAAATATCAGGCGAGGCCCGAAGAGTAATCGCATCTCACACCCATTGATGTCTGATGGATAAAAAATTCAAAACCTGTAAATTCCGCAATCACTTAAGCACCGGAGCCACTGCACTGCACTGCACACCCTGCCGGCAAGCAAGCTGGCGGGCGATCCATTTCCGCCAAATCGCCAGTCGAAATGCGCCCGAGCCGCGGTTACGGATACGCCCCCGAAAAGGGTGGAGAAACCACCGCGCGCGCGGTCAAACGGGCCGCGCCGAGAGCCACGGGACTGGGAGTGGGAGGGACGGGGAG